ACTGGTTGGCTGGAAGCTGGAAGACCGTCCCAGCAGCCCCCTGCCCTTTGGGCACTCTGGGCACAGGCCTCCTCCTGGATCTGGGTTTGCTCAGAGACACGTGCAAGGGTTGGGGCTTCCCCCAAGTGAGAGTGAAGACCCTTACAACCAACCGGGTCAGGGCTCTGGGACGCGACCCATGGCACAGGCGCCACTGAGAAGTGGGTGCTCAAACAGGCGCCGAACCTGTGTCAGAAGGGAGGCCCAGCAGCCTGCTCATGGGCGGTGGGCACAGAGGCTCCACAGGGGGTTTCAGGGAAGCAGCCCTAAAAGCTGCCTCAACGTATCTGTATGCTCCCAGCCGTTGGCAGAGAGCAGAACCCCACTGCCCAACCGGGCACGGCCTTGAGCAGTGTAGACCCAGGGGCAACCCACGGGAAGCCAGGTGTCAGAGAGCCAGGGAGGGGAACGTACGGCATGAGGTCAGGGCGTACATCACAAGGAAACAGTGTGCAGATCCAATCCAAGGAAACTGCTAAACAAACAATCATCACCCTCATCGGCAAATACCAGAATCCAAAGTGGCTGCAACATATAATCTAAGACATCTAGTTTGTTTGTTTGTTTGTTTTAAATGAAGAGATTTGATTTTTTGAGCAATTTTGGGTACAGAGAAAAATCTTGCAGAAAGAAGAGTCCCCATACACCCTCTCCAGCTCACCCTGTTTCCCCACCACTAGCCTCTGGCATTGGTATGACACACTTGTTCCCTTGATGAGATCATTATTTCTCAACCAAAAATTACAAGACAGGCAAAGAAACAAGAAAAGTGTGACCAATATTCGGGGGAAAGCAGGTAATAGAAAGTATCTCTGAGTGGACCCAGATATTGGACTTAGCAGATAACAGCTGAGTGGGAACCATCGTAAAGAATTAAAGAGAAGGGTGATGAAATGTCTTAAGTAATTTCAATTAACAGAATTCTTAAAAGAATCAAATGGAAATTCTGGAATTTAAAAACGCAATAATTAAATTTAAAAATTCACTAGAGGGTTTAGTAGAAGACACATTTAAGTATTTAATATCTTTAAGTTAGATGAGCTCTTATTTTTTTTAATATTTATTTATTTATTTGACAGAGAGATAGAGACAGCGAGAGAGGGAACACAAGCAGGGGGAGGGGGAGAGGGAGAAGCAGGCTTCCCGCGGAGCAGGGAGCCCGATGTGGGGCTCGATCCCAGGACCCTGGGATCATGACCCGAGCCGAAGGCAGACACCTAACGACTGAGCCGCCCAGGCGCCCCTAGATGAGCTCTTAAAGACAGATCAAAAGAAATTATCCAATCTGAAGAGACCAAAAAAGAAGACAAATGAACAGCATCTCAGAGACCTGTTAGACCACAAGTGTCAAGCACACATGTACACACGTGCACACACGTGCACACATACACCATACATCTGTACACATATAGGTACACAGTCCCAAAAGAAGAGGAGGGAGAGAAAGGATCAGAAAGAATGTATCAATACAGAATGGCGAAAATCACTCCAAACTTGATGAAAAGCATTTACTACAGACCCAACAAGCTCGATGAGCCCCAACTAGGATAAAACAAAGACATATCACAGCTAAACTGTTGAAGCCCAAAGACAAAGTCTTGAGAAGAGCAAGAGAGAAAAACCACGCCTGGCAGAGCACCAGGAATCTGGCTGACAGCTGACTTCCTAGCAGAGACAGGACAGGCCGCGGCCCCGTCTTAGCAGACTGTGCAGGGGATGAGAACGCTCCTAGGTGGCCAGTGTCACCCTGACTCCAGAGGCAAAGGCATTATACAGAAAAGAAAAGTATAGGCTAGTATTCTTCATGAACACTGACAAAAAATTCTTAATAAAATATTAAAACGCCTACAAAGGAATTTATGTTAGGAATGCAAAATTGATTTAATATTCAAAAATGAATTGATATGTTACACTATACGGACAAAATGAAGGACAAAGAACATGTGATCATTTTAATAGATGCAGAAAAAGAATCTGACAAAATCCAATACCCATTTATGATAAAAACTTTCAACTAAGAACATGCTTGATAAAAAGGCATGTACAAAAAACCTACAGCAAACACCGTATTTCAGTGTAGGGTGGACAGCTTTCTCCTTAAGACTGGGTTTGGGATGAAGACGCTGCTATTCAACACCGTACTGTCGTGCAGCAAAAGGCAAGAAAAAGAAGAAAATTATGCTTGAATTAGAATGGAAAAGTAAAACTGTCTTTATTTGCAGAGAACGTGATCCCATATTTAGAAAGTTCTAAGGAATCCAAGAAGAAATTACTAGAAGTAAATAAATTAGTAGCCAGATCTCAGGATATAGGATCAACATACAAAAATCAGTCTTCTCTATATACTAGGAATGAACAATTTTACTGAAATTAGGAAAAAAGTTCATTCATAATAGCACTGAAAACAATGAAATAGAAATAAATTTAACAAAAGAAGCACAAGACTAGGGCTGAGAGAAATTACAGATCTAAATACATGGAGAAGAGTTCCATGTTCATGGATTGGAAGATTCAATTTTGTTAAGATGGCAATTCTCCCAAAACTGATTTGTAGATTCAATGCAACTCCTATCAAATTCCTTGCAGGATTCTTTGTAGAAATCTGCAAGCTGATCCTAAAATTTATGTGAAAAGGTACAAAACTCAGAAGAGTCAAAACAAATTTCTAATAGATGGACGAAGTTGGAAGACACACACTACTTCCATTTCAAAACTTGCCATAAAGCCACAGTGATAAAGGATGTGCCACGTGCATGAGGATTGGTATATAGATGAGTGAAATGGAATTAAGGGTCTAGAAATAAACCCATGCAAATATGGACAACGAATTTTTGACAAAGATGTCAAGGCAATTTGATATGGAAAAGTGACTGTTTTCAACAAAAGGTGCTGAGACAAGTGAATGTCCATTTGCCAAAAAAAAAAAAAACCCACAAAACAATTTAGATGTATAACCTACATTGCACACAAAAGTTAATTCAAAATGCATCATTCTAGGGGCACCTGGGTGGCTCAGTCGGTTAAGCTTCCGACTCTTGAATTCAGCTCAGATCTTGCAATTAGTGTTGTGAATTCAAGCCCCACGCTGGGCTCCACGCTGGGCATGGAGCCTACTTTAAAAAAAAAAAATCAAAATGCATCATTCTTAAATGTGAAAGCTAAAATTGTAAAACCTCTGGAAGAAAAAAAATGAGAAAATTTACAGCACCAAAAGCATGGTACATAAAAGAAAAAAATGCACGTTGGACCTCATCAAAATGACCAACTTTTGCACTTCAAAAGACACCACGAAGAAAATGAAAAGACAAGTCATAGACTGTGAGACACTGTGAATTATGTATTTGATAAAGGACTTGTATGCAGAATATATAAAGAGTTCTTACAACTCAATAATAAGACAAAAAACCCCACTGAAAAATATTTGGAACATTTGAACAGCTATTTCATCAAAAATATGTAAGAGGCTAATAAATCCATAAAGAGATGTTTAGTTAGAATCATTAGTTATTAGGGATTCGATTTCAAAACACAGTGAAATATCACTACTGCCCACTAGGTCAGTGTTAGGGCAGAATCATTCCCCCCAAAATTCTTACGTTGAAGTTCTAACCCTTAGCACAATGTGGCTGTATTTGGATATGGGATCTTTAAAGAGATAATTAAGTTAAAATGAGGTCATAGGGGGCGCACCTGACTGGCTCAGTTGGGGGAGCATGCAGCTCTTGATCTTGGAGTCCTGAGTTCAAGCCCTGATTTGGGTGTAGAGATTACTTAAATAAATGAACTTGAAAAAAAAAAGGAGGTCATATGGGTGGGCCTAATCCATTCTGATTAGTGTCCTTATAAGAAGAGGAGGTGAAGACAGACGCGCACGGAGGGAAGACCATCTGGAAACACAAGCCAAGGAGAGAAACCAGCCCTGCCCTTGGGAGCAGGCTTGTAGCCTCCAGCACCGTAAGGAACCCAATTCCTGTGGTTTAGCCGCCCAAGGGGCACTCTGTCATGGTGGCCTTACCTGACGACCACAGGTGGCTGTTTGGCTTCTGGAAAAAACACAGACAATAACAAGTGTTGGCAGGAGGTGGAGAGAGTAGAACCCTCGTCCAGTTCTGGTGGGAATGTAAAATGGTGCAGCCCCTTTGGGAAAAGGTTAGCATTTTCTTAAAAAGTTCAACGTAAGCTACCATCTGACCTAGCAATCCTACCCTTAGGTACCTACCCAGAGAAGTGAGGCCAATGTCCACACAAATACAAGTATGATGTTCTCAGCAACACCGTCTACAATAGACAAAGCTGGAAACAGTCCAGGGGCCCATCAGCGGATCAAAGGGGGCCTAGCCAGACCGTGGCTTTGCTCAAATTTTATTCAACAGCAGAAGAGACCAATCACTGATACCATGCTGTTTTCCTTGCTGTCTGCCACCAGCTGGGAGCCAGGGATGTGGAGCCTGACCCCAGCAGGGCTGAGCCCTCGCACTCATCGCTGGACAAACGCCTACGGAGCACCTTCTGTATGGGGGCAAGGTGCAGGTGCTGGGGCACAACAGTGACCAAGAAGGACAGGCTTACCCTAGGAAAGCTGACGGCCCAGGGGCTTCGGGCGCTGAGACATGAGGAGGCCTTCCTCTGGGGGCGTGAAGGCCAAACCAAGGGGAGCAAGAAACCAAGGTCTCGGGGGACAGCCTGGATACCCCCAGGCCCAGGAGCAGGCAAGGCTCAGCTGGCCAGGGTGTGTGCTCCCCTGCAGTGAGGCGGTGTGAGTGTGAGGGGTGTGCGTGTTCAGTCTATACTCCCCCACACCCCGCACAGCTCCGATGGGGGGGGGGTGGGCACAGTGGGAGTGCAGCGGCGGCAGCAGACGCAAGGGCTCCGGTCCCTCCGCCCGCGTCTCCCAGGCAACAGCAGCCTCGGTCTCGGCTCGGCCCCTCCCCCGCCCCGCCCCGGCTGCGAAGCGTCTGGAACCGCATCCTTCCTCCGCATCCTCGTCCTGCGACCGCATCCTGCAACAGCTGCCCGTTGGAGCCGCCTGTGAGCCATTTCCACATTTCTCCTTGTGGAGCGGGGGAAAGGGGGGCCGAGTGTGTGCAGGGGAGTGTGCACGGGTGTGTGAGGTCCGTGTACAGGTGCGTGTGCAGATGCGTGTGCAAGATGCGTGTGCAGGGATGGGGGGCACTGCGGCTGACCCAATGGCAGCCAGGTCGAGCCGGGGGTCCTCCCTTGGGGTCTCTGCTGACCGGAGCGGGGGTGCTGTCCCCAGGCCTCCCTGACGATCGGGGGGGGGGCCTCCGCGGGGTGAGCCGCTGCCTGGACCTTCCAGAAGAACCGTAGGTATCCAGCCTTGCACAGACCCGACGGCTGCCCGGATCTCCGGTCCTCAGCACGGCGGGACAGCTTGGGTGGGGGTCGGACTGCTGAACATCGGCTCCCTCACCATGGTCTGAGAGAGCCCCTAGGAGGTGGGCGTCCCCGAGGTGGGGAGGGGGTGCCAGTTTCAGAACCCGTTCAGCTCTGTCTGAGGGTGGGAGAGAGCGGGGGGGGCGGGTGGAGGGGCGGTGGGTGGGGGGCGGAGGCGGGGGAAGCGTCGAGGCAGAAGGCGTCGGACGAACCAGATCACCGAGAAACATTGCTGGCACCGAGATTGGGGTGGCTGTGGCGGGGGCAGCTGCGTGGTGGCCAGGAGGCAGGCAGAAGGGTATTTCTCCAGAACCACCTGCCGCAGTCCCTGGACTCGGGGCCACAGGTGGCTGGTATGTGGGAAGCCAAAGCTGGATGCAGACCTGCGCTTCCCCTCTCGGGACTGCGCTGACGCTCGCAGTTCACCTACCCTTGAACCAAAAGCCAAACCCACGACCCGCCCGCAGGGCCTCTGGTGGGGTCTGCGGCTGGGGCGGGGGGGGGGAGTGAGGCGGGGGCGGAGGTGTGCGCTCCGCGGGGTTTCAGCAAAGCACGCAGTGCCCTGCGCTCCGCAGTCACATGCACGCTCTCGACACGCGCAGGACGCTCGTGCCCAGCCCGCACAAGCCCGCGCTGGTGCGCACTGGCGCGCACCCTTCTGAGTGACGCAGCATACGAGGGGGGGCGGTGAATGCGAGTCTGCGACCCGCGGATCTGCAGCCGGGCTTCTGTAGTGTTTTCAGCTAAGGGCCCTTGTCCCGCCCCTCCATCTGTGCGTCGGTCCAGCAGCGCAGCCTCACCGCCCATCCCGTGCCCCTCCGCACACGTCGGAGAGGAGCGTGCACCGCCCCGACCCAGGAGCCCACAGCGGGTGGGGAGCAGATGACTCGCTGGAGAAGACACAATTACATCGCAGGGTGGAGGGAGGGGGGGCCAGTGGGAGGAATGGGGGTGACCCCCCCTAGCCCACAGAGTTCTGCGTCTGTCGTGTGAATGAGCCCAGCCAGCTTCCCCAGAGGGTCCCCATGACTCAGCGAGGGAAACGAATGCTCGGGGGAGGGAGTCCCACATGTAGCCCAGCCCCTTCCCCAGCATTCTGCCTGGGGCATGAGGCCTGGAACCAGGAGCGGAGAGTCCAGAAGGCCCCAAATATCTCCTTTCCTTCACGAAGATGTGTCATCCCCGGCTCCGTTTCCATGGAAACCCACGATGACGCAACATGGACATTAAGCCATGTCGGAGGAGTTGGAGCTTAGGTTTGGCTCCTAGAGGACCCCAGAGGCGGAGCTCCTTGTAGGGAGACTGGGCCGACCCCGGCCCAGCCTTCCAGCGGGCGTGGCCAGCAACCCGAGATTGACAGGGCTGCGGGGCCGCGGGGCCGCGGGGCGGCTACAAGATCTGCCCCTCCGCACTCTCCTCTGCAAACCATAGGCTGGATTTGTGAGCCACTGGGGCACTGGGGCCAGAAGGCCTCCAGCCTCCTCCCCCCTGCAACGCCACACCCCTCCCGCCCCTGCGAAGCTCCCCTCAAGCCCTGGGCACTTGCTGCCCCCCCTCCTCCGCCCTCCCTTACAGTCCCCTGTCGGTCCTTCCCTCCGTGGCACTTTCCCAGCACTCCTGAGCCGTTTTCTTCCTCGCGCTGCAAAGCCCGACCTCTTTATATTTATATTCCGGTGGTTCCTTGTCCATCTCTGCCTCACAGAGAGCGGACGTCGTCTGCATGGTCCGCGTGAAGAATAACCCCTTGCGCGCCTGTCTGGGGCAGGTGCGGACGTGTCCGTGAGTCCTCCCCAGGCTGCTCCCCTGCCAAGCCCGACTCTCCTCAGGAAAAGCCCTCCAGCCAGGGAGTGGGAGTTGGGGACGCTTCGCTGACCTGAAAGGGCCCTGGGCCAGGCGCGTAAATCCAAGGAAGGGCCCCAGGTCAGGGCCCTAATGGGACCTTCCTCCCTGGAGCGCCGGGGAAGTCCACGATGGGGGTGCCCCTCTCTTGCCTAGCTGGCTGCTTCTCGCCTGCCCCACAGTGCCGCTCCTGGCCACCCCTCCCCCTTGTCCTACACAGCCCTGACCTCCCTGCCCAGCACCTTGCACACTCTCCATCCTGGGCATCTCTCTGCCTCTCTGCCTCTGGGTGGGAGCTCCTCCTCTGCATTCCCACCCTGCCTGCCCTGGCCTCTGGGATGTGAGAGACTGGGTCACCTATGGGCCTGGTAGGCACCTGCGCTGGTGGGGCTGCTAGAGTGAGAGGCGTTTGGGGATGGCGAAGTCACCTAGGGCAGAAGTTTGGGGATTCAGAGGCACAGCGGTCTTTGTAGGGTGGGTGCAGGCAGTGGCCGGGGAGGGAAGCACAGCCCCTGGGGCTCACCCCTTTGGTCCTCACAAGGAAGGGAGTCAAGGGACAGCCAAGACACCGCGGCCAAGGGGCTCACCTTCTCTGATCAGGGTTCAAATCCTGGGGGAGGGCATGGGGTAGCTGTACCTCTGCCACCAACTTGCTGTCCTTTGGTTGTTGGTTTCGTTTATTTTGAACTCTTTTTGTTGTGAAATATAATGAATATTGAGAAGAGGACATAAAACAAACGTGTGGTTTAATGACTTAAGGTAAGTGCTCCCCGGTCATCCACCATCCAAGTGAAGCCTAGAAATCCCCACCTGTCCCCGAAGCGGCTCCTCTCCCCCAAAGGCACGGCCACCCAGACTCTCCAGACACAGGAGCAGTTAATTGGTCTGGACCCCTGGAGTGCGTGTCCCTAATTGCCCGAGATTGGTTCCTAAAGGTTATGGTTAGAGTTGGCTTGTTCTTGAACCTGCCTTTGTGCCTGGCTGCTTTTGGCCAGCCTCATTTTGTGGGATTCCGGGCTGTGCTTGCTGTGACCCTTCACTTGCTAGGAATGCCTCCATTGATTTACTTGTTTTACTCTGGGTGATGCGTGGTGCTGTGTACTTCTGTGGGAATAGCACTGCTATCCACGTTCATGCACGCCCGTCTCTTTGCTGGGTGTGCACCCTGGAATGAGGGCTGGTCAAGGTTCGACATGTGTGGATTCTGTGAGTTGACACCACCTGTGTGGCATCTTTTGCGCCTTGAGCTCTCCTGGGTTTGGATGGGCTTCAGTATATCTCCTTAAGCTGGTTCTAACTGGTCTCCCTCTGGACTAATGAGGGTGAGCACCTTTTTAGTATTCATGGCCGTTTGAAATCCTTCTCTGTCCATTTTTCTATTGGGTTTATCTATCTTTTTCTTTATCAATTTGAGCTGTTCTTTACATACTTTAGATATCTGCCCTGTATTGGCTTCCTTGGGCGGCTGTAACAAATTACCACAACTGGCTGGCTTAAAAGAACAGACATTTATTCTTTCACAGGCTATGGAGGCAAGAAGCTGGAAATCAAGAACTGGGAAGGGCTGTGCTCCCTTTGAGGCTCTAGGGAAGGATCCTTCCTGCCTCTCCCAGCTTCTGGCGACACCAGGTGTCCCTTCTCTTGTGAATGCATCCTTCCAACCTCTGCCTCCATCTTGACATGACCACCTCCCTGTGCGTGTCCAAATTTCCCCCTTCTACAAGAACACCAGTCATTGGGTTAGGGCCCCTGTAATCCAGTATGACGTCATCTTCACTTGATCACATCTGCAAAGACCCTATTTCCTAGTAAGGTTACACACACAGGTAGCAGGGGTTAGGACCTGAACATTTCTTGTTGACGGACCCACAAGTCCTTTGCATGTTGCAAATATCTTCTCCAGTCTTGCTTTCTGTTTCCATTCTTTGAAGGCTATGTTTTGATAAGCGGGAGTTCTTAATTTTAATGTAGTCCTTTTATGGTTAGTACTTATTTCTCGTATTGAGGAACTCTTTCCCTCCCCCAGACCAGGAAAATATTCTCCTGTATTATTTTCAAGATGCTTTCCCAACTTAGGTGTATCCACCTGGAGTAGATTTCTATGTGTGATGGGAGGTAGGGATCAGGTCCCTGTTTTCCGTGTGGACATCTGTTTATCAAAAGGTGGCCATGCCGCCTGCTTTGCGTGGCATCTCTGTCGCAAATCCGTGGTCCCTGCGTGTGGGGTGTGTCACACGGAGCTCTGTGCACCACACGTCAGTACCACACGGCTGTGTAAGCTGGGTGCGTGGCGGATGAATACCCCCTTGTTCTCCAAGATGTCACATGTGTTCTTGTTCCTTTACTTTTTGCATAAAATTACAATGCTTGGCAAGTTCACACACAAAAAAATTCTGTTGGGCTGTTGATTGATATTTATTGATTCTACAGATACATTTTGGGGGGAAATGACATTTTTAAATGTGGAACCTTCCAAAATCCATGACCGTCTTGTTCCCCACTTGTTAAGGCAGTTAGGTCTCCTTTTGTCTTAGTCAATGTTTTGCCTGAGGTCTTCCATGATTTTCCATATGGAATTTCTTTCCATTTCTCTGAAGTCTGTTCCTGAGCATTTGGTATTTCCAATACCGTTTAAATGGAGTCTTTCAAAAACTTATTTTCTAATTTTTTGTCACTGATACATAGAAATATAATGACTCCTAAAAGCCTTGGATGGACCCTGCTGGACTCACTCTTCAAGCTTTGTAATGGATCCACAGATTCACGTGGATTTTCTACACACACAATGTTCGATCCATGAACAGTCAGAGTATTACCTGGTCTCGTCCAGGCCTGTTATCTCTTATCCACTTTTCCTGCCCTACAGCTTGGCTCAGACATCCAGCACCATGATTTATAGAACTGATAATAAAAGGCCTTTTTATCTCCTTCCTCATCTAAAAGGCAAAGCTTTCACTGTTTACATTCAATAAGGATTGCTGTAGGGATTTTTGTGGACGGCCTTTATCAATCAGATTAAGGAAGTTTCCTTCTGCCCCTAGAGTGCTAATAGACTTTTAAAATAATAAACAGATGTTGAATCTTGTCAAATACTTTTCCAGATATTATTTAAATTGATCAGATGATTTTTTAAAAAGATTTTATTTATGTATTTACTTATTTTAGGGGAAAGGGGGAGGGACAGGGGGAGAGAAAGAATCTCAGAGTCCCCACTGAGCACAGAGCCAGATCCAGGCCTCCATCCCAGAACCCTGAGATCATGACCTGAGCCGAAATCAAGAGTCTGACGCTTACCCAACTGAGGCACCCAGGCGCCCTGGGGTCATTTTCTTTGAGCACAATAGCTGCCCTTAGAATGTGCCCTAGAGCAGGCTGGCTAATGGCACACTCTGCCAGTGTTGTGTGTCTGGGCATTCACTGGTCAGACACACCACCCTGTCCATGGCTTTGGGACCCATGGGGAGACCAGAGGGCAGGAAGGGACTAGAGGCCTGTGGCTGAACATGCCCAGTTTGTCCTGAGAGGTTGGCCTGTCCGTGCATGGCCTGCCCTGGCTCTGGCATGAGGAACATTGGGGCCAGCATGGCGCCTCTCGCTCCCTCACAAGCTGGCATGGACATCTGCTAGGTGGTGAGTGGGCAGTAACCTGTGTCTATACCTCTGCACAGGACAAGGACCACCGTTCACCATGGTGAAGCTGGGTTGCAGCTTCTCTGGGAAGCCGGGCAAAGACCCTGGAGACCCGGATGGGTCTACCACGGACAGCGTCCCTCTGATCAGTCCCCTGGATGTCAGCCAGCTCCAGCCACCATTCCCTGACCAGGTGAGGGCCTGGGTCAGCAGGAAGGGCCGCCAGCAGGGGCTCAGCAAGCAAAAATGCCCACCCTTCCCTGTGGGCCCAAGACAGGGTCTTTGGGCAACGACTGAGGGAGAGCCTCTTTCTGGAGGAATCTGTAGGAAGCAGAACTCAGCTCTGGTGTAGTCCTGCTTGACCCCACCTGAGCTCTGGAGCATGACCGGCATCAGAAGTTGTCCCAGCAGGAGGGGAGGGGGCAGCCATCTGTACCCATGTCAGTCAACTTTTGGCCGAGGGCAGTTCTCCGGGGATCTGGGTGGGCTTCAGTGGTGTCTACTATAGTTCTGGACCTTGTTCTCAACAGACAGGTGGGAAGGCTCAGTGCTTGCCCCTTGGGAGCACTCACAGAGCACAGGACCGTACTTGCCTGTACCCCATGTGGTAGGGGCCTCAAGACTCTGGGAGCCAGAGGAGAAGTCAGGGTGGACTTCTTGGAGGAGGGAGCCAAGATGTGGAACAGCTACAGGGGAAGCTCCTGGCAAGGAGAGCTGACACCCTTAGAATTGAAGGCAGCCCTCAGACTGAGGGCCTCCCTCTGTGGTGTGGCCAGGCCCCAGGGCTGCCATGGCCCAGCAGGCATCCAGCATCCACCTTCCCTTAGCCTTGGCTCGTAACCAGTGGAGCCTAGCCACTAGACAGTCCTGGCAGCTGGTCAGCACCCACACCATTGCTGGGCAGCTGACCCCTGGACACCTCACAGTCCTCCCAGTTCAGGGTCCTCCAGGTCATCTCTTTCCACAGGTGGTTATCAAGACACAGACGGAATACCAGCTGTCCTCCCCGGACCAGCCAAAGAAGTTCCCCGACCTGGAGGCCCAGAAGCTGGCCTGTAACCACCCAGAGGAAGGGCGCAGGGTAACCCAACCCTCCCAGTCCCATGCTGCCCAGGGGTCGATTCCAGGGGGGTTCAGGGCAGAGGAGATGGTGAGCAGGCAGCTGTAGGCATGGGTACCCATGCTCTGAGCCAGGTTGGCTGGGGCCCCCTTGCTCCCTCGCCTGCTCTCACCCCATTCAGAGGCCTTCATCCTGCTATAAAGGGGGTGAGAACAGCAGTTTCCTTCTGAGGAGCTTAGAGAGCCGCTCTGGGCCCCACCTCCTCCTGCTGTGTGCCGCTTTTCCCAGTAGGCCATGTGTCTCTTCCTTAGCGACTCTTGCGTTTTGTGTGTAGTGTGAAAAGTCACTTCTGCTGTATATCCGGTTGATATTTTTTCCCACCCTGTTTTTTAGCCCTTAAGTTCACTAAATGATGGTTTTTGTTATTTTTAGCATACCATTTCTAAAGCCTTTTGGTTTTCATCAGTGAAACCTGCCCTGTCTCCTCTCCTCTGTTGTTGCGAGCCAGAAGCACTCCCCCGACAGAGGCCAGTAAGCCCCTGACCGCTGCCCTGGCCCTTGCCGCGGCTTCACAGCCCCCTCCACGGGGTCCCTCTCCTTTTCACCCGCCCCTGCAGCTGCCCACCGCACGGATGATCGCCTTTGCCATGGCGCTCCTGGGCTGCGTCCTAATCATGTACAAGGCCATCTGGTACGACCAGTTCACTTGCCCCGACGGCTTCCTGCTTCGGGTAAGGCCTGGCGAGCTGCAGAACGGGGTGGGGCGTGGGGCAGTCCAGGCCTTTCCGTGCTCGGATGCCGCTGGGCAGAGTGCCAGGGAGGGTCCCACGGAGGGGTCCGCGTGGAAGCGTGGGAGGCGGGCTGCCTCCGGTGCCGCCCTCTGCCCTCCTAGCCCGCCCCTGACCCGGCCCTCCCGCAGCACAAGATCTGCACCCCGCTGACCCTGGAGATGTACTACACCGAGATGGACCCCGAGCGCCACCGCAGCATCCTGGCAGCCATCGGGGCCTACCCGCTGAGCCGCAAGCACGGCACGGAGACACCCTCGCCCTGGGGGGGGAGCTACCGCGCAGTCAAGGAGGGGCCCAAGGCGCCCACCCAGGCTGGCGCGGCGGGGGCGGCGGCGGCGGGGGCGGGGGCGGCGGCCACCGAGCCCCCAGGCAAGGCCTCCGCGCTGGGAGAGAAAGAGGCGGCGCGGAAGGCGGCAGGCAGCGTCCCGCCCCCGGCCCCCCAGTGAAGGCCTCCCGCACCTGCAGCCCGGGTAGGTGTGCTGGGGGGGAGGGGCGGGGAAGAGGGGACGGGGGCGGGGGTCACGTGACCTGGAAGCGGAGGGGCGGGGCTCAGCCATGCACTTCTTCCCACGCAGGTGGGCGGTGGGGGGTCGTGTGCCCGCTTCGCAGCGCCCGCTCTCGCCCCTCCTCCCCTCTGTCTCGGCAGCGCCCCGCGCCGGCACCTGTGACAGCCCTCGCCCGACGCTCTCACATCCTGTGGTCGTGCCCCTGCTTCCAGGACCCCTTGCTGATGCCCCCTGCCCCCTGAGCTTCTAGCTCTGTTGCTTTTCTCTAAGTAAAGATTCACATCCACCTGGGTTTCTTGTTTCTCCTGAGCATCCTCCGTCCCCCTGGCCTCTTTCCTGCCTTCCCAACCCCCCGCATGGGTGAGCACTGGCATCATGCCAACCCCCTACTGCCCGGAGGGACCCCGAAGGATCCTGAAGAGCGGCGATAGAGGGGCAGTGAGCCGCCCTGGGAAGCCGCGGTTCACGGACAGGGACAAGGCCAGGGCCACTGTGCTAGCCGCCCTGGGTGTCAGGGCCCAGCGCGGACAGGGCTTTGTCTGGTCCATTGCTCGGCTGACTGCAAAGAAATAAGCACAACTCTGTTCAGGGGAGCCTCTAGGACCTGGGCTCCATCCCTGACTACCCCCTACCCTACATGCAGCAGAGCTGCTCCATCCCCTGCTGCCGTTCCTGGTCCCCATACAACTGCCCCATTTGACGGGACCATCTGAATTCCCCTGTTCTGGGCAAGCACCCACATGTGGTTCCTGCCCCCAACTGCCTGCCCACAGGTGTGAGTCACTGAAGAAATGAGAGAATGCATGGATCCACCGGGCCCTGGGCCACAGGAGAGGGGATGTGAGCCTACCCCTGGGGCATGAAAGGGCTCCCTGCTCCCAGAGCACCCCATCTCCCATTCCCTTGGAGCTAGAGGGGAGGTGGGAGGTCTGAGGATGTTGGAGTTGGCAAGAGTCTTTTTACCCAGCCCACAGCATGGCCCGCCTTCCCCTCTGCTTCAGCACTGGGAAGCCCAGGTCTGCTCCCGCCTGGCTAGGCCTGACCATGGCCCCCACTCCAGCACATATCCTCCTCTGAGGGCTTTGATCCTAAGCCCAGACACCCCACCTGGTGAGAGGTGAACTCAGGTCCTAGCACTAACGGCTGGGTTGGGAGCCTTGGGAACTCATGCAAAAGAAACAGGAAAGAGGCATTTTCAGCATGCTTCCGAGTGTCGGGTGACATGGGTCAGAGTCCCGGGGGGACCCCCTTGGCCCTAGTGCGGTCATGTGGGGGGACACAGGGCCAGGTGCTCAGACAATATGGGACTATCCAGCCTCCAGGCCAGGGAGGCATGGTGGGGGGGTCTGAGCAGCTTTGGAACAGGGGGCAGTGACCAGGAAGTGGGTGAGACAGGTGTTCGAAGTGTTCCAGAGACACCATGGACACACTGAAGGCCAGGTGGGGGGAGTGGGGGTGGGCAGGTCAGGGCTGGGCTGTGAGTACTGTGTCCATCATCACTGGGCTCTTATCTGTCCAGCCAGCCCTCCATCCATCCGCTCATCTGCCAATCATGACCTGTCATCTGTCCCCCTCTTCCTGTCTTTCTCTAGCAGGTACCTGGCTAAAGTGTTTCTGAGCCTTGGAGAGGAAGTTGCCTCTTTACCCTTAAATACCTCAGTGTGGATTTCCTAAGAAGGGCATGTGCTTACTTCATGCAATGATCAAAATCAGGAATTTAACTTCAAAACAATACTCTTATTTAATCTATGTACCTTATTAATATTTTCCCAATTGTCTCAATAATGTCCTTTGTAGAAAAAAAAAAAAAAGCTGGCCTGAGATACGGTCCAGGAGCCTGGCCACATCCTCCTTACCCATTTCTCACCTGGGGCAGCTCAGTCTGTCTGTCATGACCTTGACAGTTCTGAAGCATGCAGGCCAGGTGATCTGTAGACTGGCCTCAGCTCACACGTGTGAGGTGTGTTGTCATGATTAGCTGGAGGATGCATTCCCAGGAGTGATGCTGTGTTCCCCTCAGTGTCACATCAGGAGCCACGTGAGGTCTGGTTGTCCACCTCTGAGGTTAAGTTAGATCACTCGGCTAAGGTGGCTTTAATGAGTTTTGTCCTGTGACCTTACCATTTGCCCTTTGTAAATTAATACACGTTTTGTGGGAAGATACTCTGAGAGTATATAAATATCTTGGTCCTCACCAACCCCTCCCTCATTTTAGCATTCATTGACCATTCTTGTCTGAATCAATAATACTGTATTTTCCAAGTGGTGATTGTCTAAATTCAGCATTTTTTCTACACCTAATTGGTTGACGTTCTATTAGTTTACCATAAAGAAAAGCTCTCGCTCCTCCCCTTTCTGGGAGATTGACTGTTGTCCCTACCCCCCAATCATTTATTTACTCATTTATTTACATCAGTGTGACCCATTGATTCCCATTTTATTCAATAGGCTAAAATCCATTGCTATCAGTATTTATTTTTGTGTTCACATTGTTTCATATCTGGCTCGTGGAAGTCAGTCTCTGGGCATGTGTCCATCAGTCTCTGGGCACTTCCTAACTTTCTTGCACAAAGATGCTCCAGGCTTGACTTGTGCCACTGGGATCTGGGTGCTGGTTGTGGGTGTTGCTTCAGGCACTCTAGGTACATAGAGCTGGGGGTGTGGTATAGAATATAGGCATTCTGTAACTTGATAGCATGACTTACAGAACTCAGGAAAGCACTTACTAGAGTACTAGTTTATTATTAAGTATACAACTCAGGGACAGCCGGATGGAAGAGAGGTACAGGCCAGGTGTGGGCACAGGAGCATCGAACCTCCTTGCACCTGAGTGTTCAATCAGGAAGCCCTCCAAATCTCCTTGCTCAAGAGTTCCTATAACCCGTGTTCACCCCCCCTCCCACAGGTCAGGGGTGGGGCTGAAAGCCACCCCCCAAGCAGCCTCTCCCCCACCCTGCCCTATCTCATCAGCATAAACTCCGATGTGGCTCTGAGTATCAAAAGGTACTCTGTAACTCGGGAAGTCCCAAGGGTTTTAGGAGCCCTGCCCCAGGAGCCGGGGACAAAGGCCAAATACATTTTTTATTGCAGCACATTCACTTAACACACACAGAAAATCACCGTGCACGGTGTGAACGCACTCTCCTTGTTCACCGTCACCGACGCACAGCGCGCACTGACAGGGGCTGTTTGGGTGGTTTACAATATTTTGCAGTACAATGCTGCAATGAATAATTTATGCATATGTGCTTTGTATTGTTGGAGATTTATCTTCAGGGCAAATTCCCAGGAGTGGTCTTGCTGAGTTAAAATGTTTTAATTTATAAAATGTTATCATTTACAATTATAAATTTAAACCAGTGTCAGGGAGCAAGAATTCCTGACCTCTCAAAGGTCCTTCTAGCTTGAGTAAGAATCAGATTGACATGAGACAGATTAGCAGGAGAAAATCGAATGTAATGGCGTCCGTAAGGGGGAATCCATGCAGGCATGGAAATTCTAAAGTCAGGCAAATGAAATCCATTTGTCATCCTGCAGAAGGGGGTGGGGGTCTGGGACTTCAGAGGAAAGGGATGCACTTCACAGGGTGATAAGAAGAGCAAATGCTTGCCCTGCCATACAGATGGGTCGCTCAGATGAAATTGATCTGTTAATCACCCTTATCCTGGGAAAGATCCCCAATTTAGGTTCTTCTGTGTAGTTAAGAGGGGGGCAAAAGTTTCTCTTGAGCCTGCAGGGTCTCAGGTGCCTTCAGCTCACAATAATCCGTACGCCAACATGGCACATTCTGGGGAGGTCTGTCCTGAACCAGCTTCCACCAGCTTCCCCAAGCTTTAGAGCTCCATTTAAAAGCTTACTTAACGAATCTAGTTACTTTTGTGTGAGTGTGTCTTCACTTACTCTGTAATTAATATTCTATTAACTTAAGCATTTGATATATTCAGTCTCTAATTTTTTAAAAGACATTTCACAAACATGATGAACTCGATTAATTAGATGTCCTAGGTATTTCAAGCTCTAACCATTCTAAGCATTTTGAACATCACGCAGACCTACAAACCTACCTAACAAAACCTCTGTAAGCATTTGTATGCTACTCCATGTTGAACACAACCAAGTCAGAGTCAGTCAGATCTTAAACTGAAATTCTCTCACACATCTAACACTAAAAGCCAAGGTTATTGAGATAAAATTTAAACTTTCAAACTACAACAAGTTGCTTATGCTCCATCAGCGGGAGACAGTATGACTTCATGGTGTACCCGGGGCTTGGGGCAGACCTAACCTGGGCTGTAGGAGCCAGCTCCCCGAAGGGCCACGTGCCAGGCGCCCTGCTGTTGGCCGGCTCCCTTTCTCAGGGTCCTACACATCCTCTGGGTGTCCTTTAAATTTTGTTCTCACCCAAATTTTACAGAAACCGCTTGCAAAAACTCTTTCACAAGCCAGACGCCCTGGAGTGGAACCCCATATTGTTGATAGTGTCAGATAAAATGTCCGAAAGTTAAAACAATTCTTACACAAACGTAGACTGTGTCCCAACTTCACAGGCTTCTTGATGCGGGATCCCACAGGACGGTGAGATTCGGGGACGATGTGAGAAACTCTGTGCTCAGGGGGAGAAGAAATCCTAGACCCTCCGTTCGAGGTCAAACCAGGCAGAGTCACACACAGGGCATCATGGTCTTTGGGGCCGGCCATCCTTCTACTGGGCATGCCGCGTGCACCCTGTGGGTCCTTTGTGAGTTAACCCTGAGTTCAGGGGCGGGGCAGACCTAAGTAATCAGATGCACAGTCCACTCTGCTTCCTTAGGCTGCCCATCTCGGTGTGATCGACACGTGAGGGGATAATTTAAGTAGGACCTGAGTTTTGTTTGGTTGGGTGAGGTTTCCACCGTGGAACTACCAAGCAAACACAGAGCGCTGCACCCTTTTGGGGAGGATATACACGCACGCACACGCCACAGACACCCACCAGCCCCATCGAGGTACGCTGTTACGCACCATCACCCCCCACCCGTCTCTGACTCTCCCCCACTTCCTATCACATCCTCCCATCTCTTCAGGGCAGCTTTCAAGTGCAACCCTTAAACACCATCCTCAGGGTCATTGCAAGGTTACATGCCTTTCCCCACCAGGCAAACACTGAGGGCCAGGCCTGGGGATTCAGGGGCGGGATCCAGCAGTAGAAGGCCTCTACTCAATTGGTCATTACCTTCACCAATGCTACCGTCCCAGAAACGGAGACACACCCGCGTGTGCACTCATAGTGCCTGGAGCACAGAGCATC